GTTTATTTATTTTTGGGACAGAGAGAGACAGAGCATGAACGGGGGAGGGGCATAGAGAGAGGGAGACACAGAATCGGAAACAGGCTCCAGGCTCTGAGCCATCAGCCCAGAGCCTGACGCGGGGCTCGAACTCACGGACCGCGAGATCGTGACCTGGCTGAAGTCGGATGCTGAACCGACTGCGTCTCCCTATTGTTTTAAAGCAGTTGAAATTAGTTAAGATGAATAATCAAGAACAATTTTGCTTATTTTTGTTTATTTAATTTTGAGAGAAAAAAAACAGCATGAGTGGGGGAGGGGCAGAGAGGGGAAAGAGCAAATCCCAAGCAGGCTCTACACTGTGAGTGCAGAGCCCAATGCAGGGCTTGAACCTATGAACTTGATATCATAACCTTTCCTGAAGTCGGATGCTTAACCAATTGAGCCACCCAGGCACCCGGGATCAGGAACAATTTTGGAAGGCGAAGATCACGACAGACGTTAATCCATCTGGAGAATGTGGACTACTAATTCAGTTGTCTTAGGGTGTTTATTTACACATACGCACACACAAACACACATGCATGCTTGGAGAAGGGAAAAATAGCAAAAACTTGGTGCATTTTGAAAGATGTAGAAGTACTAAACTTTAGAGGTACTGAGATGTGTATTTTGTTAACTATATGTGGGTATATTTTTTCAGAATTTGTTTCTGATTTTATAGTCTATATTCATGTAGAAAACATTATTAATGTGCTAAAATTAAAAGTTATTTGTTGAGAACTGCTTCATGCAGGTTTCTCCAAGTGGATACAAGTTAGTATGAGAATTGGACATACAGCAAGTAGTATCTCAAACCCAACACCATGTAATTTTTTGTATTGATTATGGAATTTAAAGATTGAGGAATGGACCTCTTATTAATTTGTCTGATACCTCAAAGATGAATTCTTTCTAACATAAAGTAGATTGTATTGATTTTATTCTTTGGATTCATCTAAAGGGAAAAGGATATAAGACTAAAAGTCCAGTGGATTATGGTTAGTGTAGTATTGGATGTTAAAATACCTAAAATGATGAAAAAATGTGTATATGTGCTTTTATTTTTTTGTCATAAAATAAGATTAAATTATTTTGTCATAAAATAAAGATAAAATAAACTATAATATATGTGAAAATATTTTTAGGCTTATAATCTGTCATTTCTCAAATTTGTTAAAAAGAGTTGTTAGCTTAGTACTTCCACAGCTATATACCACAGTTGTAACAAGCACACAACAGCAGTACCCACCATCCCATCTTGGTCAGGTTGCAAGGCAGAATCAGAAACAAGCCTACCAAAAGATGTCATTTCTAATAATTTCTGGTTCTTTTTAGTCACAGTTCAAACAGACAGATATTTATCTGCTTGGTTAAATTGAATCTTCTGGGGGGGTTACATTCACTAACCTGATATGTGCTCTTTTTTCTTCCAGACATCCCCCATATGAGACCAAAGCCAGTGTACATTACTACAACTCGAGACAATGAAAACATTTACAGTACAAAAATTCCATACATGGCAGCTCGCGTTGTTTTTATTAAGTGGATTGTCACTTTCTTTTTGGAAAAAAAGTATTTAACTACAACACAAAACACTAAAAATGGAGTTGATGTGTTGCCCAAAATCATACAGGTATGCCATTCATCATCTTCTTTTACTTAGGTAAGAATACACTAACACATGCCAAAGTAATTGGTTATTAGGGTTCTTGGTTCTTAAGGGATGTTGGTTATGGGGACTGGTTTATTGGTGGCTTTGTCTGTGTTGCTGAGGTGTCAGGGGAAGCTCTGAGGCCGCACTCTCAGTGCTCTGTTGACACTGCCATGACAAGGCAACCTTGAGGGCCAAGGAGACATTCTGAGAGATGGCTGTTGTGTCCACACTCCTGGCTCTCTCATTTTCCCTCTTTTGCTCAAGTACCAGTGACCTTGGAGCATAAGACCAGGGGCCTGTGTTGGCTTCCCCAGTCCCCAACAACAGGAAAACCCTCAGGAATCACACAGGTGGGCCATGGAGAGGACCCATGAGACTGCCAAATGCCCTCTGGGATCTCAGGGGAAGGAGTGGAAGACCATCTCAGGATTTCAGAGTGCTTGTTAAGCCCTGATAGAATCCCTGGAAGAGAAATCTGTCTCTCCCTGAGGCCTTTAGTGAAGACCTCTTTCTATATGGGGCCTGTAGTATACCTACTCTTTTTTGCAGCCTTAGTCCTGCACAAATGGCTGAGTTACTTTCCCAGAAGGCTGAGTTACTTAGAAACTTTGCACCAGGTAGAGCAGGACCACGTGGGGAAGTTTGAGAGCAGCCACTCCACAGCAGGGTAATGGTTTTATGCAGAAAGTGAGGTCCACTTAGAGCAGGTTTGCTGATACTCTGGAGTTTCCAGAAGTGTGACCTAGGCCTGAGCTGGGAGAGTGCACACAGCTGAGTGATTATTAGCACCTTGATGAAGGAGCACCAAACTGAGGTCCAGAGCGTGTGGCCCCATTGATAAGAACTGACTGAAGAACTGGAGAATCTTGTTTCAAAGATGTCTGAGGGGGATACAATTCCAGTAAAAGCAACAAAAGACTTAATGAAAGTTTTAAAAGAAAGCTTTAAAAAACCATTAATTTAGGGGCGCCTGGGTGGCTCAGTCGGTTGTGCATCCGACTTTGGCTCAGATCATGATCTTGCAGTTTGTGAGTTCGAGCCCCGTGTCGGGCTCTATGCTGATAGCTGGGAGCCTGGAGCCTGCTTTGGATTCTGTGTCTCCCTCTCTCTCTGCCCCTCCCCCACTTGTGCTCTATCTCTCTCTGTCTCTCAAAAATGAATAAATGTAAAAAAAAATTAAAAAAACATTAATTTAAAAAACTATAAATTCATTAATTTAAAAATTTAATAGATAAACTGGCGATTGTAATGATCTCTGCTGAGAACAAAGTTGATTTTCCAAAGAAATATCCTACAATATTGAGGAGAAATTCAAAGAGATGAAAATCAGAAGTTAATAAATAAGATCTGAGGACAGGCCCAGACCTACCTTGCACTTCATGAGGACAAAAGGAGAAAAAATCAGAAGTGATAATTGATCTAATGAAATGTTTACTTGAGCTGAAAAAAAGTCATGATTTAGACTAAAAAGGCCTTCGAGTGCCAGAGAGATCTAGCTAAACAGACACAGACCTAACAGACATTTGGCTTTCATTGATTAAGAAAAAAATTACACAGCCTTCCAGACAGAAACCACAGGTTCTTTTTAGGAAATGAGACTGCATAACATTGAATATCGAATCTAATCTATAGCCCTGAGAGCTCAAAGAACTCAGTCTCTCTCTGTCTCTCTTTCTCTCTGAACTTTGATTTGTATCACATACATAGTCAGATGTCAGATTGATTTAATTTCTAAATTGTTTAAGGTCTAAATATAAGAACAAAGCAATAAATTTGGGAGAAAATCTAGGGGAACATATACATTTGGGAAGTGGTAGACTACGTTAGGTAGAGACAAGACCCACAAGCCATAGAAGAAATGAGGTTCCACCTTATTTAAAAAATGTGAAAAAGGTTTGTATGTGCAAAGATAGAGTAAAGCCACACACAGACTGTGAAAAGTATTCGTGACATCTTAGCTATTAAAAGAGTTCATGCCTCTAATATAGAGAGAGTGCCTACAAATTGACAAGAAGACAAACAATTCAACTCAAAAACAATTCAAAACAGACAAAAGGAGATAAAACAGAAGTTCACAGAAGAGGAAATAAAAATGAGCCAAGATTTCACCATCAGTCAGGGGAACACGGTTCTGGACCGTTGAGAGACCTTTACTCACCCATCGGGTAGACAAAAACTAAAACTTATCAGGTAGACAAAAATTTGTATGAAATCATATATAAGAAACTCAGTCACACCCTTGATAAATTTTATATTACATCTTGTGTTGTTAGGTCGATTCAGAGCAGTCTATTTAAAGGCTGTGACTTTTTCCTACCTGGTTTTAAAATTTTAGAAAACCGTCACCTGTATTTATTGAAAATAAGTTTCTCATTCTTGAAAAATACATTTGGTTGGCGAGAAGTAACAAGAATAGCAGATTAACCACTGCTTCAAGATTCTGATTTTTTTCCTTAAGTGGCCATTCACACTTGTGAGTCATCTACTTTTATTATCTGGTTTTTTAGTGTTATAAAAGCCTGGCCTCCTGAAGCAATTCGGATGGTTATATCATCCTAACAACAACAACAAAAAAACTCCATAACTCAAACTGTCTTAAAGATAAAAAAGAAACATTTTAATTTCATAAAATAAGCTCATGGCAGGGCTGGCAGAGAATATGGTTTACTCACACTCTTTCCATGATTCTCTACAGTCTTCCCTCCTCTGCCCTTTCCCTCTGGCAGGTTTGTCTTCAGCTTCCCCTCAGATTGTAAGATGGCTGCCAACAACTGGGGCACTGCCCTCCTTGTTCATATTCAGAGACAACCCAAAAATAAAAAGCCCTTCTCTTGATGAGATCCCATAGTTCATTTTTGTTTTTATTTCCCTTGCCTCTGGAGACATGTCTAGTAAGAAGTTGCTGCCGGGGCAATGAAAAAGAATGGAATCTTGCCATTTGCAACAATGTGGATGGAACTAGAGGGTATAATGCTAAGCGAAATAAGTCTGTCAGAGAAAGACAAATACCATGATTTCACTCCTCTGTGGAATTTGAGAAACACAACAGGTGAACACAGGGGAAGGGAAGGGAAGGGAAAAAAAGATAAAAACGGAGAGGGAGACAAACCATAAAAGACTCTTAAAGAGAGAACAAACTCAGAGTTACTGGAGGGGATGGGCTAAATGGGTGATGGGCATTATGGAGGGCACTTGTTGGGATGAGCACTGGGTGTATGTAAGTGATGAATCAGTAAATTATACTCCTGAAACCAATACTACACTGTGTGTTAACTTGAATCAAATTAAAAAAAAAAAAAAAAAAAAAGCCCATCCCTTCCCTTTTGTCTGAGTGGAACAACTTAGTTACTTGCCTCTTCTAGAACAATAACAAGGCACTGATTGCCTTAAAGCAATGTGAATGGCCCAGTAGGGACATGATTGGCTTCCAATCCCTGGTGCTGTGGATGGGGTCAGCTTCCTGTGAGTCACCTGGGCTGCAGGGGAGGAGGCACATGGAGCACCATGCATCCTTTAGGGAAGGGAATGGGTGATGGGAAGACAACTCTCCAGGCCCAGTGCTTCCACACCCTGCAGATGGCTGCACCTAGAAATGGCCACTGCTATTGTGTAGACTATTAATATGCCTCACAGTAAGTTGTTGTAAGTTTTCTTTGCCACGGTAGCAAATTACCACAAAGTTTTAGTGGCTTGAAAGAACACAAATGTGTTATCTTGAGTTTCTGGAGGTCTGAAGTCCAAAATCAGTGTCAGTGTGGTAAAATCAAGGTGTCTGTGTTTCTTCTGGAGACCTAGAGGAGAATCCATTTCCTTTTCTCATCCAGCTTCTAGAGACTACCTGCATTCTGTGTTTCATGGACCTTCATCATAACACCTTCTGTCCCTGTTTCCATCTTCACATTGCTCTCTCTGTGTCTGACCCTCCTGCCTCCTATAGATCCTCGTGATTACATTGGGACCACCCAGATAATCTAGGATAAGTTTCCCCTCTCACATCCTTCATTTAACCACATCTGCTAAATCCCATTTGCCATAAAAGGTAAGATACTCTAAGGTTCTGGAGATCAGGGCATGGTCATTATTCAGCAGACCACTTGTCTCCTGTAGTCCTTTCTGTGCCTGTACATCTGTGTTCCCACCTCGTCTCACATGTGTCCACTGTGTTCCTCTCTTCGTTTACAGTGTACCTGAGAAAAGGCAATTTAAGCACCTGAATATTAGATTTGGGGGGCAGAGTTGCGGGAGTAAAAGCACATATAATTTTTTCTCCTGAAATTTTTTATTTGGAATTTCAAATGTAATATAATTTTGCCTGTGTAAAGTGAATATCACTAAATGAGGTGATCCAAAATCTCTTTTCAAAGAATATGCTGCTCTTGTAAAAATCCCTTTAAAACGGTATTTTAAGTGCTGCTTCCAAATAGAGTTCACACTTTTGCCATTCTGTGTTAAAGGTCATAGATGAGAGATTGTGTGTGTGTGTGTGTGTGTGTGTGTGTGTGTGTGTGTGTGTGTGTTTTCCAAAGTGAATTTACTTCCGGATCTAGAATTAATACCTTTGACATTAGTTTTCATCAGGGAGGAAAGGAATCAATACATCATCTAGACTTAGTTTTCTTACCACCTTGGAGAGTCTGGTTTAACAAATACTCTTGTTCAGTGGCATCATTCAGGGAGAATGAAAATATAGTTGCTCTCATATCCCATATATTGTGTTGGCAACAACAGTATAAACCTGAACATTCTTGGTGCATCATTTCAGCTGAAAATATTTTTAGTGAAGTATTATTTAGTCTTTAGTAATTCATTTTTTTTGTTTATTTTGCGAGAGAGCACACAAGTGAGGGAGAGGCAGAGAGAGAGGGAGAGAGAGCATCTCAAGCAGGTTCCGCACTGTCAGTGGAGGGCTTGAACCCACGAACCATGAGATCATGACCTGAACTAAAGTCAAGAGTTGGACGCTTAACCAACTGAGCCACCCAGGTGCCCCAGTAATTCATTTTTGTATGAGAATAAAGTACTTCAGTGTACATTAGAGAAAGCAGAGGGGTGATTTTAAAATGTCAGCGGTGACCATTTTTTACCAATTCTATAAGCACATTAACTGACATTATAACCCATAAAAATCCATTTGGGAATGTAAAAGAAAGTTTGAGATGGTATCAGTTGATCACATTTATTTGTATTATAATTTTTTATTTATAATTTTACTAATTGTAAATCAGTTCTTCAATAATGATTCATGGGCTGTGGGTTTCCTGAAATTGTTGTATTTCGTGGGATGAACACAGTTAGAAAAAGTGAATTACACAAATTGACAACCCTATACGAGTTTGTACATTATACAAACTCATTTGTTTGTTGACTTCCACTCTAGTACTTTCTGTGTCCTAGAGCTCTGCCAAGGCAAATGCAGTCTGCCCCCAACCATGCAGGCAAATCATGACAAGGAAGTTGAGTGGCATCAGGCATCACCAATAGAAGGGCAGTTGCATCCTCTTGTTTCATACCTTCTTTGTGAGTGTCCCCGTTTAGTTTGACCCTGGGAGTGAACAAGTCTCAATATGAGCTGTCGGTTGAGAAGAAACCAGGATGTTGGGGAGGGGTGATGGGAAGGATTAAGTGGCAGCCTGCATCGTGCAATTTCCTGAGTCCTGGCAGTGCAGGCCTGGTCTGCTTCAGATAGGTCTGTTTCACTGACGGAGGCTTCATCATGTGCCGAAGAAGTAAAAACTATTTTTGCATTTGCCACCAGAATCAACTAATACCAAATAGTAGTTGAGAATTCCAGCTTGGTATTAGTGGGTGGAAAATGGACTCTCTCCATTATTAATTCTTACTTATGCTTTTACTGTTAATCTTCATGAAAGACATAAGGAATGAGGAGACTTGGATTATCAATTGGCTTTCACTCTCATCACTCACTGCCATTATAAACGTCTGTCAGAACATAAAGATGTTTTTAGAAAGTGGCCTTTTGTGGGGAGAGTAGGGACTAAGGCTAAGGAAAGCATTGTTCTATCAAGAGAAGCTTTCAGTTTACAGTATGATGGGAAATCCATCTCTGGTGTTCTATTTGGATAACAGAACTCACTTTTCATTTTTTAAAGTTTATTTTAATTTTCTTAAATTGAAATACAGCTGACACAATGTTACATTAGTTTCGGGTGTACAACATAGAATTTGACAAGTGTGTATGTTATGCTGTGCTCACCTACCACCTGTCACCATGCAGTGCTATTAAATACCATCGACCATATTCCCTATGCTGTGCCTTTCATCTCCTTGACTTATCCATTCCATAACTGGAAGCCTGTACCTCTCACTCCCCTTCACCCATGTTGCCTATCCTGTCATCCCCTTTGCTGGCAGCCACCAGTTCTTTGTATTTATGGGTCTATTTCTGGTTTTCTGTATGTTTGTTCAGAGTACATTTTTTAAATTACTTGGTACCTTTAAACCTATTTCTTTATTTATACTGTTTAAATTACCTAATAGTTGTGTTATCCAATTAGTTATCTAATGATTTCAAAACTTGGTGGCTTAAAACAATAGCCCTTTTGTCACACTAAACATTATACTTTTGGGGTAGGGAATTTGGGCAGGATTTAGTTGGGCAATTCTTGTGCTTCATGTGGTATTAAGTGAGGTCAGTGGGTGGTGGTCTTCAGCTGGTGGCATCTTGGTTCAAGATGACTATTCAAATGCCTGGATGCAGTTGGAAAGTAGGGTTCAGCAGGGCCTCTCTTTCCATGCAGTCTCTCTGGTAGGGTCGCGAGACTTCTTCCCTGGCTATTCAGGGCTCTATTAGCAAATGTTCCAAAAGGTGGGAAGTGGTAACTGTCAGCCTTTTGGCCTGGGCCTGAAACTGGAACAGGTCTCTTCCACTCTATTACACTTGTTAACACAGTCACACAGCCTGTGTAGATCAAATTTGTGGCCATTTTTAAAAAATTTTTTTAAATGTTTTATTCTTGAGAGAAAGAGAGACAGAGCATGAATGAGGAAGGGGCACAGTGAGAGACGGAGACAGAATCTGAAGCAGACTCCAGGCTCTGAGCTGTCATCACAGAGCCCGACATGGGGCTCAAACTCACGAGCCGTGATATCATGACCTGAGCCGAAGTCGGACGCTCAACTGACTGAGCCACCCAGGCGCCCCAAATTTGTGGCAGTTTTTAATTTGCTGCCATATGTGTATATATACATGAGGGTTTTTTCTTCTTTTTTTGCCTATGAGGAAAATGGGAGTTATTGATCAAAAAGTCACAGGTTATTGAGCCACAAGAGACATTAAACTTAATCCAACCTTTATATATCTATATATCTATATCTATATCTATCTATATATACACACATATATATACATATATATGTATATATATGTATATGTATGTATATATGTATGTGTGTGTGTGTGTGTATATATCAGAAAAATGAGTACAATTTTATTTTTCTACAGAAGATAGTTGATGCGTCAGAAGGATGAAATAATTTCTATAGGACAGCTCATCTCACAGTATGACAGTGCCTTTGATAAGCAACACAGACTTAAATAGCTAAGGCATGAAGAGAAAAATTGTTATAAATATAATCTTCCATTAATTTTCCCTAGAGATTGCTATTTGGATATCTGCTTTCAAACTGTCCTTGGTAGTTACTGAAATTATTATTTTGTACTACTCATATGTTATCACTTTTTGTAAAACATATTCACAGTGGGTAGAAGTTTAGTGGTATTTGGCTTATACATTTTTGACACTTAAAAAGTAATAGTGGAATTTATAAAAACAAAGCAAAATTATATGTGTATTTTATTTGGAGGAAACCTTTAGTTCTATGGGGAGATGAGAGCAGAATTCAACATTAAACTTTGTGAGTCATTGCATGAATTATTTTATTTCCTTGTGCTCATAAAGTTTGCTAAATAAAGTTTTGTAAATATTTCAGTTAAGTTCAGTATGAGATTCTGAATATAAAAATCAGATCAAAATTCTTCTAAAATACCCTCTAAAGATCTTGACACTCTTCCATCAGATATCATTTAATCTTTTGAATCAAATGATGCTTTCCAACATTGTGGCTGCAAAAATTCCACTGAACTTCAAGATCTCTGTGACCGTACAGTAAGTGCTGAATTTAGAGGCCAGAGGTGATCATAGTGTAAATTCACTGACACAATTTGTTATGTGATTTTACAAATGTAAATTAAAGTTTGTAGGTTGCTGGACTTTCACAGCCTCACCTCCTTGCAATAATTTAGTAGTTTTCCTGTTAACATAACTGAGTTGGAGAGGGGTTAGTTGGTGAATTGGAAAATTGGTGAATACAGGTCCTGGAACCCCTTGTGCTCCGAGCAATGCTGTTGTCCAGCTTGCTGTTAAGCTGACGGTTACCAGAGTTCTTTAAGATGAAACAAGCCTTCAGGTTCACTGGGTGTTCTTGAGGGTTGAAGACAAGGCTCTCTCAGAAGTGGTAATGACTTTTTTCCAGACTGTTGGTGGTGGTGCAGGGCAAGAGAGAGCACCGGAGCTGGATGGCAGTGGGCCCACAGAGCAGGACAGAAACCATTCCAACAGCAGCACCTTGTCTGACCGAAGACTCAGCAACTCCAGCCTTTGTAGCATTGAAGAAGAGCACCGCACAGTGTATGAAATGGTGCAGCGGATTCTCTTGTCAACACGAGGTTATGTCAACTTTGTGAACGAAGTCTTTCGCCAGGTTAGTGTGTGTGTGTGTGTGTGTGTGTGTGTGTGTGGTGTAAGTTCATGAAATTGAAGAGTTTTGTTCTTGTTCTTTTGCTCGTAGTACTGCAAGAAATACTATGGATGTGTTGGGCTACATTACAAGACTGAATAATTATCCCTCTAATCCCACTATGAATTTGTCACGTGGAGTGTTGTGATATTTTTCTTTTAGGATTTTTTAAAATTTTGTTCTTGTAAAATTCCTACACATGGAGAGGAAATTCTGTATATGAACAAATCATCCCACAAATACCCTTGTGCTCCCATAAACCCAGTGGTAGGTGGGAAGAAAGCCCTTGCTGCATACTCAGCAACAAATGAACATCACAAAGAAGAGCCTCAGGCTGGTGGTGTTCCCAGGGTCCGAGGGAGCTCTCTGGACGTTTCTGCAAACACGTGTACTTTCCCTACACATACGCATGGCATGCATATGATAGAAATATGATAGAAATATTTATGACACCAAATAATGCATATGATAGAAATATTTATGACTTCAGAGAAATAAGCTGAGTGGGGCGAGGAATAAAAGGAAAGCAAGGGCTGAGGCCAAGACGCTGACATAGCATACCTATGTTGGACACTGTGGTGGGTGGAATAGGAGAAATGTAAACCAGAAAGTAGGTGCAGGTGAGGAAGAAGACAGCATAGATCAGAGGCCAGGCAACGATTAGCAGCCCTGAGCAACAACTGGGGCTAGCTCTGCCCCCCCAGGGGACATTGGATGCTGTCTGGAGACATTTTGGGTTGTCACAACTGGGGAGGGGGCGGTGCTACAGGCATCTACTGGGTAGTAGCAAGCGATGTTGTTAAACACCGTACCAGCACAGGACAGGGCCCCTGCTACCCCATGACAGAGAACATCTGGCCCCAAATGTCAGTAGTGCTGCTTTAGAGAAACTCTGACAGAGGAAGCAGAACCTGCAGTGCAGTGGAGCAAACAGCAGCTCTGTGGTGTGGGGTGGAGCCACTGGCCACCTGCACCTTGGTACTAGTGCCCTGGGAAACAGAACCTGGCTCTTCTGTGGGCATATGCACGTGATGGAGGGGTAATGGTTTAGTCCGTGCACCCACACAGAGGGTGAGGCCCTCGAACGGCAGAGACCCATTATTGGTGGGGAGGAGGGATTGTGTACACGCACACGAATGATGCATGTGTGTCATGAAGAGCTTTTTGTGGAGGGGCGAGACTTCTAGGTAGTGATTGACCCCTTTCACTTCTGAGACTTTCATTAAAGAAAAATCAACCAAGAATGAAAGTCCCAGCATAGTCCACAGCAATCTAGAGGTTTTAAAATATTTTGAATTTTAATGAATAAAAATTTTTGACTTAAGAAAATATTAGTTTAAACTGTAGTGAAAATTCCCCTTGTAAAATACTTTTCTGATTCTGTGGCTCAACACTGTTTTGGTTCCTCTCACTTCCTGTGTCTTCATTTCTTGGCCCCTTTTTTTTTGTTTGACCCCAAATTCCAGGAGTCGACCAAGGTTCTGGGCTTAAGCCTCTTCTTTTGTCACTGCACACTTTGCCTCCTTAGGGCCTTCATCGGTGACATGCAACTCCCACTCAAGCCTTTTGTCCAGACCTTGCTTCTTATTTCCACATTTGCCTTTTAAAATGCCCACTTGTGATCTCATCTGACATTCTAAGAGGTGTTTTAATGATAATGAGGACAAAGCTTAGCTTATTTTCTTCCCTAACCTCAGCTTCTCCCGACTTGAATGCTTCTTTAGCAGACTCATGTTCATGTGTGCAGTTTTAGCCCTCCTGGGCTCCTCGTCTCCTGCTCCTTCTGTGAACCGTCACTGGGTAAGTCATGCAAGGGGCTTTCTCACTCCTGTTCCCTCCTTTTCCTTTGACCAGTGTGCTCCTTGGAGCCCACACCTGCTGTGTCATCTGACTATACATGTCCTGCTGCCGAAACATTCTTCTATCATAATAGTCCATGATTTGAAAATCTACCCTATTCCCTCCATTAATGTTGCCTTGTTGTGTTCCTGTTGTACTTGCAGAAGGTGCTTGGTAACACTTCAATTTGAGTTGAAATCATCAAGGGCATAGAGGGCATATAATTGAGAATAGAGATCAAATACTTTATATAGTACAGGACCAGATGATAATATTTCAGGCTTTATTGATTATGTGGGCTCTGTTGTAGCTGCTCAGCTCTGCCTTCATAGTGAGAAAGCAGCCATGGACAGCAAGTAACAAATAAACATGATTGTGTTCCCAAAGAACTTTATTTATGAAAATCATGTGGTGGTCTGAATTTGGATGACAGGCCATATTTTGCAGACCCCAATTTGTAACAGTGTTTTGAACCCTTGGAAGCTAGTGCTTACTACAAAAGCTAGATATTATTGACAAAGCTTTTAAATTTTACACAAGAGATACATGCTAAATTGATGTGATTTTACCTTTATTATGTAAATTGTTTTTTATACCCAGAGTCTGTCTGCCTCCATTATTGGTATTTCACCCCTGGCAAGAGCATGCTCTAAATTCTGAATTCCATTTAAGTCCTAAGTCCTACTTCCATTCTGAAGTAGCTTGGGTCTGGTAGGCAACTGCAGACTACTTATGATTGAACTTCTGAGACATCTTTGTGCTGTGAAGCCAAAAAAATATTTTTTTACACTTTATAATTATTCTTCATCAAATCTAATTTGAAAGCATATATGTGAAATTTAAAATATGAATGTTGCACATTTTAAAATATGAAGTAGAGACACTTGAAGGGACGTGAGTTTTAACATTGCATTCTATTGCCCTCTTGTGGTCAATGATGAATTTTTCTTTTATGGATGGCAAAATGTGACTTCTTTCATACTTGTGATTTCTTTTTCAGTTTTAAAGTATTCAAAGATTAATATTTAAGCCTAAAGGCCATTAAAGTTTAAAATGTACATTCAGGAAGTGCATGTTCTCAGTGGGGAGGTAAGGTGTGTGTGTACACTGTAGAACAGTACGTGGTGGTGGCAGAAGATAGAGTGGCCTGGAAATAAATGCAGATGAGGAGCCATGGGGGCAGAGTGGCTCGTGGCAGGGGCTAACTGTGCAAGTCTCCTTGGACTGGATGGTTCAGTGAGTTGCAGGCAGTGGAAATAGATGGTAACAGTAGAGACGAGATTCAGCCTCAGTGTACTGCTACTCCCAGCAGGCAGCTAGCAGTGAATGGTAGAAGCTTCAGGTAGGGCAATTGTGTTCTCAGGGTCACTCCACTGGAAATTTGTCTTATTACTGGTGTTTTTCAGACTACCTTTTGTGACCATTTGTAGGTCATGAAATCAGCTCATCAAAAACTGGTATTTTTTTTTAAATAATGTAATAGAATAGACCAGAACATTTCAGAGTGTACTGCATGTTGTTAGGATTAGTATTTCTCTGTGAAACTTCTACAAAAAAAATTTATTTATGTATATACTATACACAAATAGTATATCCTTCTATAAAATGGCTTACTTAGGTCATGGGTCTAAAAAGTTCAAAGCACTACTCACTATTAATTTAAGAAGAGCATCATTCCAGGTATTTCTATATGTTTATATTTGGCTACTGGCCTGGCTAGGTAGATAAACAGATAAGAGATTGGCAGAGAGGAGGTGGGTAAGGCAGGATACAAACAGACAGAGATCAGCCTGGCACGCATAAGAGCTTACAGATGAGCTGATAGATATAATCAAACTGACAGGCAGGCATAGAAGAGCAGACAGATGGGTGTAGACAGGCCAGCTAGAGATGGAGGTGAGCAGGGAGGTGTAGAGGGACAGGTTCATAGGTACAGACAGATAGGCAGACAGAGAATTTGGCAGGCAGGTGTAGGTGGACAGGAAGGCAGCCAACCATGGACAGAGACAGATAAAGGTAAAACCAGACAGAGGCTGACTGAGGTGAAAGCAGATGCAAGAGAGCGTATGTAGAAATGCTGGGGTGGGGGTGAGGGACTGACAGAGAACTTCATGACCACGGCATCTTTATTTCTTAATGATTCTTAATGCATTTTTAATGAAGAGCTCTGAATTTTATTTGAATTTAACAGAAGAAAAGAAAGTGAAACAAAGAATTGCTGAAATTCAAATAAACATTCTTTTATGAAAAATATTAATTACTAAAAGGTTTGTCTATAATGAAAACATTATAATCACTTTAAGGTGTTGGAATCACTTTTTTAGCCCCATGGTGTAATTTTAGATTTACACCATGGTAGATTTCTTAAGAAATATGAAGAACTTATCAGCCTTGTAGTTTCTTCAGCCTCCTCTCCCCATCTACTTATTTTATTATATTATAAATTTATAGCATAAATGTACCATTATTTTTAGTCAGTGTGGGAATCCTAATGTGCAGAGTTGTTTAGTCTGAATTCTGAATTTAGATAGACTCTTTCCTCCTTGTGTCCTCAGTCTTAAAATACTTGCTTTGATTGACTTCTTAGATGGTCTTCTTTTGTCACTGAGTGGGTGTTTTCAAGGTATTCTGAGTCTCTTTATGATGAGGAATGTTTTCTTTTTGTCTTTCCTCATGAATAGCAGTTTAGCTAGGTATAATAATTTCAGGTAGCTCTTTCTTCCAGTTAGGAACGTGCAAGTAAAAACTTTTTTAGAACTTCCAGTATGAATATCTTCAACATGCTTAAAGTAATAAAAGACAAGCTTGAAAATATTTCTGGGGAATAAGAAATTGTAACAGATGACTAAGCAGATATGAATAAGAAGATAGAATTCTAAAAATGAAAAAAAAAATGTAATAATTGAAATAGCAAAGGAGAACCTCAAATTGGGGTAAGCTTAATAGTTGACTAGGTACAGTTTAGGACAGAATAAATGGGATGACAGATCTGAAGAAATAATCCTGAATGTTCCTCAGAGAGATAAAGATGAAAAATATGAGAGGTTGAAACATGGAGAATACAGCAAGAACTTAGGAAGCATGTATTCCACTCTCCTCTGTCATTATTTTTTTTTGTCTACTGT